AGAATGTTTTCTTTAAAGCAAAATTCGGCTGAACGAAGCGCGGTACGGTACTTATGTTACAGCAAACTAACAAATCTTGAGAAAAACCAAAATCTTTCCATAATGTCTACCTCATCGACATCGTGCGGATCCAGTGACTTCTCACTTTCATTCAATTCGTTTTGCATCAGTTCTGGCATATCACCGGGATCAACGCGACCAGGTGTTTCAGCGTTTGCTTTCTCTTCGAATGGAATCATAGCCATAACACGGGCGTTGCTTGACGATGGATTCGTCACGACATATCTTGGCTGATCTGTGAAACGTGGATCTAGAACAACAATGATTAAGAAACAAAAAGAAGAAGTTCGTGGAGGTATAGCAACAGATCTTCACCAAATGTTACGGATCGTCCAGCCTTCTGAGATCCTTGTCGAGGGCTTACTGAACCGCTTTCAGGATCTGGATAATATCCCTAAACATAGCTATTGTATGCATATGATAGCGTGCAATATAAAGCCAGAACGAATGCAGCATCAACACTGTTCTTACGGGAGAGTTGCCTGGGTATTTTCGCTTAGTTGGAGTCCGATAAGGAGGAACACTTGTTCCAAATATGTCCATGAGTTTTTTGAAGGCTTCTTGCTTGTGTTCTGGTAATGACTCGAAGACATCGCAGACTAATAACTTCCTGGAAATCCCAGTATGATGAGAATGAAACTGTAAGCAATCAATTTAATCGATTCAAACAGCTAAAATGGCCATTTCAGTTTCAATGCTTTCAAGTTTCATATCGTTTAACTCCTACAGCAACCACAGCGTCGCGAATTTGAACAAACCTTCCCAGCTTCGTGCATGTTTTGAAGCAAACTTTTACCGATTTTTGTTTTGATACAATTATCCCGCTTTCATTTTCGGGCAAGCGTGTCTCAGTTCCGAAAATAAATCTACTCTGACAACAAACTTCTGGCTGGTATCGGTTGATGGGACCTGGTGCGGAGCTAGAAGTTAGAAACCATTTTTTCATTGAAAGTTCGAAGAAGCCTCTCTTTTTATCCAAATCGTTGACATGAGTGACTCTGTATCTCAATTTGATCGTTTTTTAACAAATATTTGAAAGCGCATTTGTTGTAATGTAAGGCTTTGAAACAAATGCGTTTACCCCACTTTTTGAGTGAGATGATAGTCTTAGATAGATGAAGAAAATTATTACTTTCTCTGATCCTCTCTCCAATCACCCTTAGGATAGGAGTTCCGAATATTAATGGTTGGAGTTCGCCGAGCCACAGCCACAGGGTATTTGGGAGTGAATCGTGTATCCCTTCCTGCTGATGCCACTGGCTCTAGGAGATAAAATTCACGTTGGGCGTTGAGTCGTGTTGCCTTAGTGAGTACTTACGAAACTCCTCGACCACAATTTGGCCTGAGTCTACAAAATTTGGCGATTGTTCAACAAACTGTTGATGTTGGGATGTTCCAAATCTCCTCAAAATTCGGGGAGCTCTTCGTCTCTGAAGCAGACTCTATCATTAGAAATCAATATTGGTCGTATAAGAATATTACTGACCTCTACGTTCTCAACAACAAATTCTCCATCTCCTTTGTCTCGGAACTCCCCACTGCGGGAGAGTGCAACCAAGGACTCCGCCATGTCGTCTTCCTAGAAATTGGAATAAGATAAAAATAAGCGATTTTAACTGAGTGCAGTTTTCAAAAATCCGATAACTAGCTATCTAGAATAAAGGACTTGATTATTCTACTTTCATACTAGTCCCGACCAAACCCACCTCTGCATCAATGTACTCTTCAACATAATCTCCTTCCATAACAACTTCTTCTGCCATTTCTGGGACAGGAATCCCATTATCGTCAACGTATTCAACTTCAACTTCTAAAGTGCATCAAAAATAAAAAACACTGAAAGATATAGATCATACAACCTCCGTTTCCTAGTTTCACAGTGCATACAAATTTGATTTTCAAATTATCTAGGACTAAACTTCCTCCCAGATAATGACCACCTATACTCTTGACAAAGAACCTCACACTATCGCACATGAATTGTCCAGAAATGCTCACTCATTTTATGATATACAAAGGGAAAGAAGAGAAAGAAAGAGGAAGGGGAAGAGAAGGGTGATCACGGCTTAGGCTGGCGGAAATACCGAAGTTAGGTATACTTATTTCCGGATGTTACCCGCAACTAATGCATGGTCCGCTGCCTTTTGCGCGAAAGACGCATTAACTGGTCGCGCTATCAGTTCCAAGCCAAAGGTAGCGGCTACGTCGCATGTTCGCGCTGTTATGGACCACACACCTGCAGCGCGTCAGTACTCATAAAATGCATATTGGTAATTTTTAAGGAATTATATCCTCATTCCCTATAACTTTGCCAAATCTGTAGTCTCTGTTTACTCGGGTATACGACTTAGCAAAGGCCGCATGCTCCCCGCGTATAAGCCATTTCTGGTCAAAGTCTTTCTACTCAATATTCCGAGATTTGCAATCACTGAGCAATTTTCTAATGGAAACTTCAAAAAATGACGCATGGATACAAATCAACTTTCAACAGATATCTGACAAACTACTATTTAGCCCATTTCATTGCCATCTGGCTCTTCAAGTAATCAGGCAATCATTCAAGGTAGAAGCTCCTCTACCTACTGGAAGCCAAAGTTCAAACCGCGTTATACTAAGGAAGATAACAATATGTGAGCGTTTTTATACACCGAATTCCTTATAGCGTCTTACGCGCTATCTCATAAACGAGCGGTTTGTACCCGCGTATACAAGGCACTCTATAGGGTACCTTTCTGCAACGGTATGTGATGCTTAAATCTAGCTCGTATTTACATGAACTAGTGTTTCCTTCTTTAACATTCGACTATGTTGAAAACTGAACCAAACTCGCCTTCAGCTCCTTCTAGCATACTCTCGTCTTCAATCAGATCGTGCTCTAATGGTGTTTCCGTCACATCCAGCTCGAGATCATTAGTGATAGTGGTTTCGGCTTCCACAATTGGGGCCTCAGTTTCAGCTTCTACTTCGTCAGCTGGCTTTTGTAATCTGCCGCGTTTTGGGTATGGCATTGTAAGCTGAAGCGCTTGATTTTATTATCATTGGAATTTTCGCAAAGCTCTGCGACAACAGGATAATGAGAATGTAACCTACTATCTGTACTTTGCAGCAGTAAAACAGAGAAAAAAAACAACTTCGCAAGAAAGTAGGAAGGTGAGTTCATACGTGATGAGAAGCAATGTGGCAGACGAAATATTGATTTTTGAACATGTCAAAATTTCATATGCGCTTTATTCCAATCCTACAGATTTTTGCAGTCCATACTGTTCCGCACTTTTACAAAAGTCAGCTCTTTTCAAAAGAGATTTGATAGAACTATTGTTGGCGCC